CTCATTCTCTGGGAGTTCAAGGTCCTAATTTCGTTAGATAGAGCAAACCACCGTAAGGCATTGCCCTGTCTTCGCCAACCCATAAGAACTGTTACAAGTATAGAAAAAACAATGGTGGTTAGAGAGAGAGACAGAGAGACACGCATACACACACACACACACACATAAAGTGAGAGAGAGAGACAGAGAGACACGCATACACACACACACACACATATAAAGTGAGAGAGAGACAGAGAGACACGCATACACACACACACACATATAAAGTGAGAGAGAGAGACAGAGAGACACGCATACACACACACACACATATAAAGTGAGAGAGAGAGACAGAGAGACACGCGTACACACACACACACATATAAAGTGAGAGAGAGAAGAGAGAGACACGCATACACACACACACACACACATAAAGTGAGAGGGAGAAGAGAGAATTGTAGACAGAATATTTTTAAAGTTGGTCAGAGCTCCGTTTCCTCAGCTTGCCCTGAATTATCTCAACACACAGGGATCCGGGGAAAGATAACTAGGTACAAAAAGAAATGTGACTAAACTTGCCACATCATAGACTTCTGAAGAAGTAAATGGATAGCACTCAAACATAAACGACATTATTCTGAGTAGTTATATCTTATTTTGGAGAGAGGGACTATCTACTCTGTAAGTGCTTACAGTCTCACTAGAAATTTCTCTAGAAAAACCTTTATTTCTGCCAGAATTTACCTGTGATTCAGAACTTGATTTATATATGTTTCAATTTTTTAAAGATATTTCTATACGTCTACAGTAAAGAGTTCCAAGGAAACAAACTAAAACTCTAATGTAGCATTTCTGAAATAGAACACACACACATGCATCCACAGACACATGCATACATACATATATATACTCTATATTTTAGTGCCATCAGGTAGATTCCAACTCCTAATGACCCTGTGTACAGTAGAGCGGATCCTTGCCTGGTATTTTTGTGCCATCCTATTACCTACTGGCGCTCTATCAGACAGTGCTCCACTGCTGTTCATAGGGTTTTCATGTGCAATTTTTGGAAGTGAGTGGCCAGGTCCTTTGTCCTAGTCTGTCTTAGTCTGGAAGCTCTGCTGAAACCTGTCCACCATGGGTCATCCTGCTGATATTTGAAATACTGGTAGCATAGCTTTAAGCATCACAGCAACATACAGCTGCCATAGTATAACAACCGACAAGACACGTGGTTGGTTCCCTGACAGGGAAAGGAACCCAGGTCACAGCTATGAGATTGCCGAATGTTAACCAGTAGACCACCAGGGCAGCTCATATTTTACATAGACTCACTTAAATTTTTCAAATGCTTTTTAATGCATATAGAATCAATTTTAATTAAAATTATTCATAAAAGTAAAACAAAATACTAGTTTATATTCTCTTACAATGAAAGGATAAGTTCACTGTTGTAATTATTTAATAAATATTTCTATGTATTATGACTCCCGTTGTACCCTAAATCCACCTATCATAAATTTTAATTTATTTTAATATTATATAATTTTAGAGGCATAATATTAAAATCTATAGTTTATTTTTCAAGTCAAATATACAGCTTTCTAGATTGAGATTTTAGTGATGATCATTAAAATGTCTTAGAATTATTAACATCTCTTATTGTAAGTAGTTGGATTTACTGCAGGAAATTTAGTTTATTCGTTAATTTTGTATAGTGTAACACCTGACTTCTAAAGTTCTTTCTATTGACCTTAATTGCATAATCCTCACTCTAGGAAGACAATTAAAATGCATAAAAAACATTTATTCAAAGAAGAGTAAAATCATCTAATTAGAAAATATGTTAAATTAATACAATTATTATGAATGAAAAATATATTTTCCTAGATTCATACTAAAATGGGACAATATTAGGATCCTCTCAATTTAATTTTAACTTGTAGTGATTTTGTTATGCTCTGCCGTGATGAGCTAAATTCCATTATTATTTTTTGATGCATGCAACTGGATTCAAATAGCACATAAAGATAGTGATAGACAACATGCTGGCATTTAAAATTTACCAGAGATAAAATCTTGGGTATCAGTCTTCTAAAATGTCAGTGAAGCAGCAGAGTGTCTGATATTTGAAAATGTTTCTTTGTCAGAAATAATGTGTTTACTACTCATTGTTTTATAATTCCCAGTGGTTGACCTGGGCATTATGAAGGATTACAAGAAATCACTTATCTGTCATAATTTTATGTCTGTGGCTTTTATAATATTTTATGTTACTATAGATTAAAATATCACATGCAATGCAGGATTGACTTTGGTATGTATGACTTGCCGTTTATTAAAAATATTTGTTTTCAGCTTATTAATGAGTTTTAAAACTATACAGTTTAACTCATTGGGATATTAAAGTTTCTTTCAATGCCTTCATGCTATTAAGAAAAACTAAAGTCCAGTAATGATTAAATCATCTCTCTAGGCAAACCTTAGACTTAAACCCCACTATCCTAATTACCAGTTAACCAACCTAAGGTCCCTCTAATTTAGACGAGTGCATTTCAATAATGTATGAGTCTGATTGTATGTGGATTTAAAATATCCGTTGACCTCCAACTCTCTCATTCATTTAAATTTCCTTTTATGGATATAAGTGTGACTTTAAAAAAGTATCAGTGTCAAAGTAAAACAATGTAACAACAATTTGCCTGTTAACAATATTCACTACTTACTTTCAGAAATCATACATGAAACAGAATTTTATAGTGGTCTTTATAAGATATGTGTACTTGCCATCGTGATTCATATGATATTAGATATATCAATTTCCTCTTATTCTGTTTAATTGTTAGCAGAATTTAAGACAATACAAACTGATTAAAAATGTGAAAAAAATAGGACTCACAGAAGTACTTCTTGATAACATATGTAAAGATAAGGCGGAGACATATGAGATATTCTGGAAAATATCCTGTTAGCTAGAGCTGATTCTTTAATAATATTGTGGGTAGATAAATAAAAGAATCTTTACCTGTTTTTCCAGGTACAATTCATTTTTTCTAATACTGTTTAGAATCAGCACTATTTGGGTGTGAATGATATTCTTCCATTCTGCTTTGAGTTCAGTGTTTTATATTCTTCTTCCCGTCCCCCCTATGATTACATAATGCTTGAACTAGGATTCAAATGCATATTTTCAATTCCCCTATTTTTGTTCACCACGGCATATTCTTGCAAATACAACTCATGTAAACTACAAGCAGAGTGCAGTACTTACTAGGAGACACACCAAAGGCTACGGGGAGGGGGAAGAATGGCAGCGGGAGAGGTTCCTTTGAGACTAATGGAGGTGAGCAATTATGCATTAAACACTTAGTTGCCTTTCTTAAGAAACTCTCTAGCAGGAGCTTTACATATACGATGTAATTTTAGCATAACTATACATTTTTTCAGATAAAGAAATGAGGCTATGAAGAAACTGAGGCTGAGATGTTAAAGAAAAATTCCCCTAAATCTCAGAAAAGATAAGCTATAAAACCATGATCTAAATGCTAGTGTCATATAGGATTCAAATTCAGACTCAAATCCTGGTTTTACTCCTAGCTGTGCAAATTTATTCATGTTACTTAATCTCTTTAAGCTTCAATTAAGCAGATGTAACATATTAAGATTGTTCTGAGGATTTAGTGACAATATAAGAAAAGTTTAGCAAATAATGATCAATAAATATTAGTTGATTTTGCTGCTGCTGTTAATTCAATTTAAAAATGTTTTATAGATTAAGCATTTGAATAATGACTTGAAGTATGATTATAGTATTGAAATCTTTTTGGATTTTGCCATTGCTTTTAAAAGTATTTTTCTGATCATAAAATAATGTGGTACATGAATTCTCATTTAGTAGATGACGTCTAACTTTCTTGTCTCTTTTCTGTGATTCCTATTTGCTTTTTTCATTAACAGTACTTGACACTTCGTGAAAATAAGATTAAGTAGATATTAGGTAGTGATATACATTTTAAATATATCTGTATTAGTTGTCTTTTTTAATTTGGAACTTTTTCCTTTTTTTGTTATTATTGATATTTCTGATATGGAATTAGGACCACAGATATAAAAATAAATTTCTTACATTTTTACTACTGTTCAATTAATAAAGCTCATAAATGGGCGCTTCAACCAACTCTATTATCATGTTTATTCACATTTTCAGAATGTGAAATGATGTTGTTTTTCATATGATTCACATTAAATTCAATATTGAATATATATTTAAGAAATATTTTGTTATTTTTATCACCAACTGTAGTCTTCTGGCAATTTAATGTTTATTGTATAGTATAATAATATGAGAAATAGGAATATTAAAATGTAAAATTACAATTAGAGTCTAAATAATTTCTGTTTTTTTCTGTGTTATATAACTGAAAGTCCTACTGAAAAGCACAAATAAAGTTTAATTAGTACTTGGGTGGATAGAGGGAACTTGTGCATTTCTTTTCTTTTAGGAAACATAATTATAAATACAATTCAAGAGTGGCTGAAAGTACAAGTCAGTCCCTTTCCATTAGAGGAAGAGAAATTCTGACAGTGGTCTAGTAATAAAATCTACATTTATTACTGTCCCTGCTACTTTTTTCTCTAGATTATGCAGGAAGATATTTATGGGGAAAATGATGTGAATATCTCCTACTCTAAGTAGTTATATATATTAATTAGTCATAGTAGAAAATCTATTAAATTTTTCTGTGCAAATAAGTTCACTATTTTAAATTCATTTTTGTAGTGCCAATAATAAAAAATGTTCCTAAATCTACAAAACTCAACTGATGATCATTTAAAGACATTTTAACTCATTGAGAAAGTGAACGCATAGTCCACAAAGATTGGACAGAGGATGTGTTGATGAGATTTGACTGCCAGCAGACAAGGATCACATCTGAGCTAAGTCATGGACTCTCATATACCACTCTACCATTAAACATTATTAAAATTCAGCAAAGTTAAGATTCAGTACATACCATAGACTTTGAACAATAACATCTTGAAAAGTCTTCATAGCCAAGATTCTGTTATACTTCCAGTAGGATCTTTATAAATTTCCTTTTTCTGTGTATCTTTCCTTCATATTTTTCCATGCTCGTCTTCTCAATTATCTCTATGCTGTTTGACATCTTCTTGTAACGTTCTCTAAATGATAGATCAGTGCAGACAGGATTAGTGTTTGCAGCTGGGGATAAGCTATATAGCCAGTGTTAATGGAAGAAAAATTTATACTTCAAAAATACACCTATATTGCTGAACTTCTTATGTTTCTTAATTTAGAACTTGATGTACCTGGGGTCTTGACTATTACTACTCTTCCTAAACATTGTCTCTACTTTCAAAAGTTCTCTGCCATAGCGATGTCTATGCAATACGTCATTTCAATTTAGTGAAAAGAAAATAAATCATTGACTGTAAGCCTTAGGAATTCAAAGCCAATTTTATTCCAATAATTATTCTATGTGATGATTTTATATGGAGAAATTACATGTATATATCATTGGATCTACAGCAGGGGCCAATAACCATACTTTTTTTTTTTTTAATTAAAGGCTTTATCATAGGATATCCATAAGTGGTGAATATTTTATAGATAACTGCAAAAATTCTCAAATGCTGAAGGAAAGATTAAGACATTTGATTGCACACACACATACATATACACACGTGTATATATCTGTGTGTATATGTGTGTAGATGTATATCCTGAGATATTGCTTATAAATTTTTAATAAAATTGTCATCCTTGTCCTCTAAAAAAGCATTGTATTTTACAGACTTTGTTTCTGACCTGGTAACTATCCAAATTATGTAAGCTGCAAAATATTCACACTCTAATTGTTGAAAGTAATTTCAATACATGTCCAGTAGTACACATTTGTTAACTCTGTTGTCAAAAATCTTACTTTTTTTCTCCCTCGTGTATCAGTTAGTAGAAAAAAATATATTATCATCTTCCAAAGGGTGAGGTTTAATGTAGGCAAGACATTTTGTCATTTTGCCATTTTTTTGATTCTCTATTCTATTTATATAAATAGAAGGTATTATTGCTAGATGCAACTTTATTTATAATTTTTGACTTTCTCAAAAATTAAGTTTCTTAAAAGTATTATGATTGCCTTTATAGTTAATACAACTTTTGCCTTGACTAGAACTATATTTTGTTTAGTATTAATATAGCTATATCATTATTTAGATTTTGATGGGTATATATTTTTGTATAATTTAATCTCAACCTTTCTATAAAATTAAATTTTGTTTGTTGCTTATTAAAATAAAGAAGCAAGTTTTGTTTTTATCCAATCTGAAAATCTCTAACTTTAAATGTTAAAGTTAAATTGAAAACCAAGGCTAATTTTATATATTTTAATCTATTCCTTCTAGTGTATTTTCTTTCTCTCTCGCTCTCTTTTTTTTTTTTTGTGAGGAAAATCAGCCCTGAGCTAACATCCATGCCAATCTTCCTCTTTTTGCTGAGGAAGACTGGCCCTGAGCTAACATCCATTGCCAATCTTCCTCTTTTCTTTTTGTTTTTTTTTGCTTGAGGAAGATTAGCCCTGAGCTAACATCCGTGCCAATCTTCCTCCATTTTGTACGTGGATCACCACTACAGCATGGCTGACGAGTGGTGCAGCTCTGTTCCCGGGATCCGAACCCAGGCCGCTGAAGCGGAGCACAGTGAACTAAACCACCATGCCCCAGGGCTGGCCCGTCTTCTGCCCATTTTTAAATGGAATTGGTTGGTTTTGTTATTATTGAGTTGTATGAGTTCTTTATATATTTTGGATATTAATCCCTTATCAAATACATGATTTGCAAATATTTTCACTCATTCCATATGTTGCCTTTTCATTTTGTTGATGGTTTCCTTTGCTATGCAGAAACATTTATTTTGATATAGGCCCACATGTTGATCTTTGCTTTTGTTGTTTGTGTTTGTGGTGTCATATCCAAAAAATCATTGCCAACACCAATGTCAAGTTTTTCCCTATGTTTTCTTCTTGGTGTTTTACAATTTCAGGTCTTATGTTTAAGTCTTTAATCCATTTCAAGCTAATTTTTGTGAGGGGTGTAAGATAGGGATCCAACATCATTTTTCTGCATGTGGTTATCCAGTTTTCCCAAAACCATTTATTTAAGAGACTCTCATATCCCCCACTGAGTATTCTTTTGCTCCCTTGTCAAATACTGTTTGACCGCGTATCCATTGGTTTGTTTCTGGGCTCTCGATTCTGTTTCATTGGCCTAAGTGTCTGTTTTTATGCCAATACCATACTGCTTTTATTACTACAGCTTTGTAGTATAGTTTGAAATCTGGAAGTTAGATACCTCCAGCTTTTTCTTCTTTCTCAGGATTGCTCTGACTATTCAGAGTCTTTTGAGGTTCCATACAAGTTTTAGGGCTATTTTTTCTATTTCTGTGAAAAAGGCTGTTGAAATCTTGATAGGGATTGCATTGAGTCTATGGAAGGCTTTGGGTAGTATGGACATTTCAGCAATATTAATTCTTCCAATCCATGAACATGGGATATCTTTCCATTATTTGTGACTTCTTCCATTTCTTTTATCAATGTCTTACAGTTTTCATTGTGGAGATCTTTGATCTTGTTAGTTAAATTTATTCCTAAGTATTTTATTGTTTTTGATGCTGTTGTAAATGAGATTGTTTTCTTTCGTTTCCAGATAATTCATTGTTAGTGTATAGAAACCTTACTGATTTTTGTTTGTTGGTTTTGTATCCTGCAACTTCACTGAAATTCCTGATTTGATCTAACATTTATTTTTTGATGGAATCTTTAGGATTTTCCAAATATAAAATCATGTTATCTGCAAATAGAGACAATTTTAATTCTTCCTTACTGATTTCAATTCCTTTTATTTATTGTTATTTTCACCTGATTGCTCTGGCCAGTACTTCTAGTAATGTATTGAATAGGAGTGGTGAGAGTGGGCACCTTTGTCTAGTTCCTGATATTAGAGGGAAAACTTTCACCTTTCCCTGTAGAGTATGATGTTAGCTGTGGGATTGTCACATGTGTCTTTTATTATGTTGAGGTACATTCTTTCTATACCCAGTTTGTTGAGAGTTTTTATCATGAACGGATGTTGAATTTTGTCAAATGCTTTTTCTCTATCTGTTGAGGTGATCATATGATTTGTTATCTTTCATTTATGAATGTGATATATCACACTTAATGATTTGCATATGTTGAAGTGTCTTTGCCTCCCAGTGATAAATTTCACTTGATCATCATGTATAATCCTTTTAATATGCCCTGGAATTCAGTTTGCTAATGTTTTGTTGAGAATTTTTACATCTATATTCATCAGGGATAATGGCCTGTAGTTTTCTTTACTTGTGGTGTCCTTATCTGGCTTTGGTATCAGGGTAATGCTGGTCTCATAATATGAGTTTGGGAGTGTTCCCCCTCTTCCATTTTTTGAAAGTGTTTAAGAAGGATTGGCATTAATTATTCCTTAAATATTTGATAGGATTCACCAGTGAAACCATCTGATCCTGGGCTTTCTTTGTTGGAGTGTTTTGAATTATTGATTCAATCTCCTTACGTGTTGTTGGTCTGTTCAGAGTTTCTATTTATTCATGATTCAGTCTTGGTAGGTTGTATGTTTCTAAGAATTTATCCATTTCTTTCAAGTTATCTGATTTGTTGGCATATAATTGTTCATAGTAATGTCTTATGATCCTCTGTATTTCTATGGTATCAGTTATAATGTCTCTTTCATTTCTGATTCCGTTTATTTGAGTCTTTGCTCTGTTTTAGTCTTGCCTAGGTTTGTCAATTTTATTAATCTTTTGAAAAAACCATGTGTTAGTTTTGTTGATATTTTCTGTTGTTTTCTATTCAATGATGTCAATTAACTCACTTTTTAAATTGTTTGCAGATTATTTAGGAGTCTCTAAGCAATAACTACTATCATTTATGAATACTGAGAATTATATTCCTTCTTTTCCAATTTTATGCTTTTTGTTCCCCTTTTTGTCTTTATGCCCTGGATAGGACCTCCAGTCAGGACATTGTTGGACACTAGTGATATAAAGGACCTCTTTGTTTTAATCTGTTATTCTTATCTGAGGAGGAGAATTTAGGTGACTGTTGTTTGGTTTTTAGCATTTTCTTCAGATTAAAGAAGTTTCCCTCTCTTACTGATTTATGATCAAATTTTATTATTAAAAATAAATATTTAATTTTAACTATTTTATCTGAATTTAATGAGAAAATCATATGATGTTTTCCCTCTTTCTCTTAATGTGATGAAATAAATTGATTTTTTAATATTAAACCACCCTTATATTTCTAACATAAACCTCACTTGGTCATGATGTATTGTCATTTTTATAAATCACTGGATTTTATTTGCTTACTGTTTGGTTTAGAATTCTCGTATTTACAATCTTAAGAGTGATTGATCTGTAATTTCAATTTCTCAGAAGTTCTTGTTAAGATTTTGGTATTGTGGTGGGCTAATTTCATAAAGTGAGTTGCAAAGTTTGTAAAGTATTGCATCTTTTTTTCTTTGACAAATTTTGTACAGAATTAGGAATATGTCTTCCTTTAATGGTATGAAGAATTCACCAATGTTTCTACCTGGTTTTGAGCTTACTTTGTGGAATGTTTTTTTGTTTTGTTTTAATAGGAGATTTAATTTAATGGAAGAGTATTCAGATTTTACATTACTTATTCAATTTTTTGAGGGATGTTATTCAAATAATTTATCCATTTGTTTAAATGTCGTAATTATTGACATAAAATTGCTCATTATCTGTATTTGTTATCACTGTCAGGGCTGTAGGGTCTGCAGTGACTTCTTTTCATTCCTGATATTGGCAAATTTATGTTTCTCTCTTTTATCTTCATCAATTTTGCTAAGAGTATGTGAAATTTTATTATTCTTTTAAAAGAACCAACTCATCTTTCCTGGTTTTCTTTATTGATTAATTTTAATGTACTCTCTGCTGTTAATATTTTTATTCCTTTGTACATTCTTGAGATTTGTTTTTCTGTGTTTTTTTTTAGCTTCATTATATAGATGCATAGATCACTGATTTTTAGCTCTTCTTTTTTAATATATACATTTAAGAATATGTATTTCCTTCTATTCACTT